AAAAAAAAAAAAAGGCTTTCCACTGAGAATATCATCATATCATCTAAAATCCTTTCCTTCAAGGCCTTGCATGATCGGGGTCCTCTTTTTTTCCCTTCACTTCATGTTTCTCACACTGGGGTTACCAAACTCCAGTCCTCTGGACCCCTTCAAGTTTGTTAAGGAGGCAGAACTCTTCCCTCCTCAGGACGTTGCTGCAGTTGCTCGCTCTGTCTGAAATCTCCCCCACACCAAAACCCTTGAACCGCCACTCTGGCATACATGACTCATCCTCAGAGGAGCCTCTCTGACCCTGCAGTCCACATTATGAATGCCCTTTGCCATTCTTTCTTATAATAGTTTTTCCTTCATCACACTTTCACATTTTTCATTATTCTGGAACCTGTTTGTTACAAGTAGATGTCACCCCCACCTGACTGGAAGCTCCACAGGGGCAGGATTATATGCATGTGTGAGCCATTGTTTACCCAGCCATCTACAGGATCTAGCTTGCACAGGTAACCCACAAATCTTTATTGACTGAGTGAATTAATGTTTTTCTGTGAGCCTGAATAGTGACCTTGGTGGGAAATTCCCTGGACTTTCCATAAAAAGATAAGCAGCTGTCTCCTGACTGATTCAATCACCTCAGCTCGAGTTCTCTCTCAACTTTGGACCTCATTCATCAAGTCCCAGAACTATTTTTTTTGTCCCCAGGAGGGCTGTCCATACTTCTGGTGGAAAGGTAAACAGTATTGTTAATGATAAAAATGATCATTTCCTCTTTTGCACTCCAATAGCCAAGAAGCCAGTGAGTCTTTACACCGTCCATGATGGAACCGTCCACACTGTTCAAAGATCTCCATTTTACAGTGACATTGTTCTCACCATTGGGGGATGGAACGTGGCCATCTGGAAAGAAGGTGTTATGGTTAGTTGCCTACAAAACAGAGGAGTGGGTGTGTGGTCCTTTGTGTGTGGTCCTGAGAAAGACAATGGGAACGACAGACTGTACTGACATAACAGTGCCTTTGGAACACTTCAGAAAATTTGGAACAGATGGCTGGAGCACGAGCTTGTTCACAGAACTTCTATAAGCCTTTTGAAAACACAGAATTTGCTCTTCTGTCCTGAGGGAAGTAAACAACATTTAGAAGTCCCTTTTCTCTGAAATCTGGGTCTTTTTATTTGATCATGTACTTATAAAAGTACTTATTAGTAAATACATTTCTTGTATTGTTTGGTTGGATTTTTTTAATCGAAGTAACACTGCATTACAACATTATATATGATGCTGGTGTGCTTCATTAAAAACCAACACGTGTATATACTATATTAAGTTCACCACTGAAAGTCCCTTTCTAGCCTTTTCCCTAACACCCTTTTTCTTGACAACACATATAGTGGGCCATTGATTTGGATTGTGTTTTTTCCTCCCCTAAAGACACAAGGTGGTGTGTTCATGACTGTATGAAGTCCCAGGAGAAACACTGGGTCCTTTCTCTTTGCTTCTGTACCAATATTATGTCAGCAGGTGCAGAAAGTGAGAGTAAGAAAGCTCAGGCATTCGAGGCATTACCTGACATTACCAGGCAGTCCAGAGACATATGTGGGCCAAATTAAGAAAGAGTCAGGAATCTGGGGTGGGGGGTCAGGATAAGAAAGGACCTAGAGCCAGGCACACAGAGCAAGTTGTCCATACTCCCAGTGGGAAGGTAAACAGTATTATTAAAATGATCTTTTCATTTTTGATCTCTGGAGCTATTGATCAAATCCAGTGATGTAAGGGTTAAAGTGGAGAGTGCTTTTGATGGGACTGTAAATGTATATGTGCTTTGATGAGTAGTTTAGGATTATAAAAATCTGAATTACGTATATATTTTACTGCTGGAATATAAATATTTTCTTGGAATAAACTATGAATATATTCTTACATTTAAGAGTTGCATTTCTGGGACTCTAATTTACACTGATACTGGAAAAATAGTATGTATAGGAGTATACATACACACTTGTCATTAAGAAAACTGGAAACTACTTAAGTATCCACAAAATGACTTCTATTTTATACCAGTGTACTTTTGTATGTTCAGTTTTTTCTTTTTTTTTTTTTACAATGAGCAAGTATTACCGTTATAGTTTAAAAAAAAAAAAAAGATAAAGAAAATTTAGGCAAGATTGTCTAGACTATGTAGGACCAGGAAGCTGGTTACCAGTGTCTGAAGGACCTGGGCAAAGTGCCAAGAGCCGGTTTGGAATTCACTGCTAGGGAGTGAGTCTGTAACCTCTGTTCCCTGCAGGAAAGTTTCTTATGCTTGTATTGGAGGCTATGAGACAGTACTAGAGTTTAGTTCAGGTCTACAAGTCAGTAAATGCTCACACCTGGATGCCTGGTAGAACATGACAGTGGGGAGAAACGTTCTGATCTTTTCTCCCTATGAAAACCTCCCAAAGAGTGAATTACCCCACGGTCAAATAAAAAGGAGATGATCTTATGATGCTTTGCTATTCTAGAATCTCTTCCAAGTAACATTCGACTTTCTATTTTCATTTTCTGGCCACCAAGCTGTTTCCATGGGAAGCTTTACAACTGCCAGCAAAATATAAGAACAAGCAAAATTTCCTTGTAGTCTTTATTTGACTAATAGCCTCCAATCTCCATAGAAATAACAATATAGTTTAGCCGTAGTTGGGCTCTTAGAACCATCAACAGTGCAATTAAAAGGATGGATCTTCTCTAGCAAGCCAGTAAAATGGGGGAGGGAGATATTATATGAACATAGAGCTGGCATTATATAAAAATGCTGCCAAAAAATAAAAAGAAATAAGAAGACTATGTTGATACAAGGTTACTAGTCTGTGATGATAGCTATTTTTGACTTGTACTTAAAGAGAGACATAAATATCTCTCAGGTGATAACACATGTAATTTGTCTTCCAAAATGTTTGTTTAAAGAGTGGACCCTTACTTCAGTCATCCTGTGCACCAAAAAGATACACCTCAGGACACTGGTCCCTCACCAGGCCTGGAGTCTTCTATATCGGCCGAGAAGATGGATACATTGATATCTGGGATCTTCTGGAGAAAACCCACGAACCAGCTATGTCACAAAATATTTGCATAACTATGATCACCTGCATCAAGCCCTGGACCTTTTCTGGTACGTTAGTTCTGATCTAACCAGCTAAGTCATTTCGCCTCTTTGGTGCATCACAGGAGCATTTTGACTTTCATCTGGGAAGCCTCCAGTGATTTCTCAGATTCCTGTCAGTCATCCTAGCCCGTCTTTTTCTGTTCTTTTCCCCTCATCCTTTCACTCTCTCTCACATGCAAGTCTTGGATATGACTGGAGCTGCTCTATTTTCTTCATCAACTATTACTTCTGAGACATTTGGTATACCAAGCAGAGGCTGGTTTGGGACCACACAACAAGAGCATCTTCATCTTCTCCAGAATAGTTCCTATTTTGCTATCTACTGCTGTTTGTTTTCCTAACAGAATAAGTTTTACATCTTTAATTTTTTCATTATAACACATTTTTTTGTCATATTATCACTCTTAGGCTCTCCTTTGGACACTCAGGTAATTTTTCCCCAAGAGATCAAATGACTCTCTGGGTCATCTAGCTATTTCAACTTTAGAACTTATGTGTGTGTGTATATTCTTAAATTTTTATTTTGCATGGAAAAACTGGGGTGTAGGCCAGAGGTGCAGGGGGTGAGAAGATTCACCAGAGACAGAGTGGGGAACAGAACAGGCAGATGTACTGAAATACACTGCCAAGAAAAAAATAAAATAAAACAAGTAGAAATAGGAGGCTGTATCTATGGAATATTAATTTATTTCCATTGACTCAATTTCTGTTTCACCCAAACACTACTTATCTATATAGATACAGCATGTGTATATGTGTGTGTGTGTGTGTGTGTGTCATTCTTATAAAGACACTTCCCTTTGTTTCCACAGGTTTACAGGCATAAAATTGCCTTTCTATCCATTTGTCAATCAGAAACATTACATTAAAAAATTCAGTATTCAGGGATCTTCCTGGTGTCATAGAGGTTAAGCCTCAGAGCTATCACACTGATACTGCTGGGGCCTGAGATCCATCCCCAGCCAGGGGGATGACCCACATGGCATGGCAGACCTCTCCTGACCTGCCCACTGCTGCCCCTCAGCAGTGTATTTCAGTAGATCTGCCTGTTCTGCTCCCCACTCTGCCTCTAGTGAATCCTCTCACCCCCACACCTCTGGCCTGTAACCCAGTTCTTGTATGCATAAATAAATAAATCTTAATATCAGTATTCAGAATCTTGAGTGTCACAGTCTGATATCTAACTGCTAAGGCCTGTGTGTCACTATTGTTATCTTTGCTAGAAAATGTTTTTTGTGTGTTACAGGGACTATAAGTCTAAGATATTTAGCAGTTTGGATCTTCTGAAAATGAGAACCACCAGATGATAAGGTTGATCATTCAAATTCTTATACACATTTGTATTTTATATCCATTTTAAGTGACACCCAAAGGAAGAAAATTTTTTTTTTTAAATCATAAGACTGTGCTTTGAAATTCATCTAGATAATGTTATCCTTTAGTCCTTTCCTGTGTCTTTGGTGAAAATAGGCTTCCTGATTTTTCTTTGAGAATCTTCCCATGTGTTATCCCTGCTCTCTCCTCATCTGCTTAGCAGGCTCAGCCAGAGGGAGGGTACACCTCAGCTCGGAGCCACAGTCTTTATTCAACACCAGGAAAACAAGATTTGAAGCGGACAGGGTGGCTTACAAAAGCTCAGGGTCTCAGCTTTCATTTCATCAACTGGAAAAAATGACTTTGACGTGTTAACATGATCCCCGTCGAGAATGTCTGTGAAGATGCCAAGGTCGTTGTAACCACCACAGGCCTCTCAGGAGACCGAAACCACATATTTGATGTTGAACCTCTAGGATGGGTTTGCAATTGCTGAGTTGTTCTCCCTCTCATGTTTTTAATCTTTCAGTTAAGCAGCAATTTATAGCCATCGCTGATTATTATGGAACCCTGCATATATTAGAAATTCCTTGGACATTAAGTCACCCTTCCAGCAATGAGGTTAGTAACTTGTGGCTTTAAGGATGTGAGCAGATATTGCTGATGCGTGTTTTAAAAGTGTGTTCAGAAATGATAACATTTTGATGTTATAAGAAACCAAGAGAGTCATACAATAAAAAATAAGGGGCTATATATTTCTGCTGTATGATTTGAATCTAGGACAAATCAATTCTAACAAGAGGGAAGCCAAGTGATTGAAATGCAGATTCAAGGGAGAATTGATCTGGAGATTCAAAACCAAAGGTTTTTTAGGTTGTAACTGAAACATGGGATCCTGTTCTAGAACACCCTTCCCTAAGGGCTCTGCTGACATTTTCATGCATCCTTCCCTTGTTGACCTGTACCCCAACCTACCCCAACTTGGTGTACTACAAGTAGCAATATTCTGCCTCTCCCTAACCACCAACAAGCATGTCAGACCATACTAGCTGTGAGGTTATAAAAGGCAAATCAATGAATCAATGAACAGAAATATATATAACCAATATTAAAGATTGCGATCCGCTGTATGTCCCAAGCATGTCAGTGTATACTGGAGGACTGAAAGCTTTCTCTCCTCTGGTCGCCTTACCAAGCCTTTTGCTGACTTTTCTGCTTATGTCTACAAGCTAAGCCCTCCAAGGGCCTGCTCTATTTCCAGTCCCATAAGAGTCTATGTGGGGTTTCCCTGTTTGGTTGATGATGTGAAACTTCCCTGTCTTAGATATGGAATGAAGGCAAGGGAGTGGGAGTTGGGGAGAGTAACCCTGAATATTCATCTATAAAATTGAAATTGTTGCAGCTTTCTTTTTCCAAACCTACTCTCTTCCTGAAATCCTTTATTTGCAGTGCTCTAAATCTTAGCAAACTAGCACCCAAATTGAGTTAGTGACTTTGAGAGTCTCCCAAAGTAGACACTCTACCTAATAAATTACAAGCTGTAGGAATTCTTCCAGAGTCCTGTAGAAAACACGGAGATTTTCATGTCAACATCCCCTTCCTCGGGTATTTGTTTCTAACAGGCATCAAGTATAAACTACTACTTTGAAAGAGAAGTCAAGCATCTGGAATATGTGGAACAGCGAAAACTAATTCGTGAGCAAGAAAAGAAAGAGATGGAGCTGGAAAGGGAGAAGAAAAAAGTTGTAAGTTAAATTTTAGAAATGACCATTTCCTTCCTTTAACTCCATTGGAAATTTTTATTTGGCTTTTCCGATAGCTTCAGTAGGAAAATTACATCTTGTCACATTTTTTTTGTTTTTTCTCATTTCCTTGCTAACTATAAGCAAGAATTGCCAACTGGACACCTAGCAAAATTTTTTCCAGTCAGATTTCTGAAATTTTCTTTATCTTCAGACTCTCTTATATAGAATAGTATGTATGTATCATTTATAGATACAATGATTCAAATTTTAAATGTTTTCATTGGGATAGACCTTTAACATCTGGTGAATAAATTCACTCAAATGGATCACACAAGAAGAGTGGACTATAGAATCAAGTCAGATGGGCTCTAATCCCAGTTACAACATATGAGATCTGGAGCAAGGCTCTATTCATTGCCAACCTTCTGCTCTCAGTATTTAAGGTGGAAATATTAATAATTACCTTTCAGGCTCACTGTATGGCTTTCAATTAAGTAACATGCCAAATGTCATTAAATGGGGCTAGGATACAGACGGAGAGATAAGAGCCCTATAATATACATACTAGATATACTCAATATATGGTTGAGCTAGAAGGATAATTTGGTACAGGCCTCATCTACTTTGAATTCTATCTAAAGGGAATCTAAAGGCCTGAAAGCACCTGGGTTCCTCTTTCTCAGATCTGAATTTTGTCTCTCTGTTGATCTTTCTTTGCCTGCTGGAACTTTTAAATATTCTGTGACCAGCTCTACTTTCTTTCCCACCTAAGACCATCTCAGTACATATTTGTTCTTTTCTCTTGCTCATTCCCTTCTTTTGTCACCACCACTTTCTCCAGTGATACCACCCATAGTTTCCTTTTAGCTCTTAGTGTCCTCCAGCATAATTATGTATGAGAATCTAGGCTTCAGTCAGAAACACAGGATGTGAGAGTATGTTGATACACTGTTTTAGCAAATACATTCATATTACCTCTTATTGATAGATACCAATTAGGGTATTGAAACCAGATGACCTTATTTCCAAAACATTGTTTAGTGATGCCAAGGTTTAAAAGAATACCAATGAATTAGCTTTTCACTGCTTTCCCATGATACAAAAAAAAATGGTCTTGCTCTGTTCTTTTGTGAACTTAACAAACATTGTTTGAAATTCTGCTGTGGGAGGTAATCTGCCACCCATCCTCACACAAGCTATTATCCACGATTACTATGAGTGTTCAAGTAACATAGCAACAGCCCCTAATTATCCACATCCTGTCAAAGCAGGTAGAATTGTAGATAATTCAAAAATAATTTGCATGTGAAATACTTGCAAACACCTGAATATTATATGACATTAGTCCTTCCTTATCCAGTTTCCATTCATGGATACAGTTACCCGTGGTCAATCACAATGCAAAAATATTACATACAAGAGATCCTGTGAGGGGAAGAGAGAGAGAGCAAACTCATTCACTTAACTTTTATGACAATAGATTATTGTCATTTTTCTGTTTTATAATTATTTTTGTTCATCTTTACTGGACCTAATTTATAACTTGGACTTTATCACAGGTATGTAAGTATAGGAAAAACATGTCTGTCTAATTTGGTAATATCTGTAGCTTCAGATACCCATTTGGGATCCTGATCATACCCCCTGTGGAAGAGAAGAGATTACTGTTATTAAATCTTGAATTTTTTATCATGCTTTAAATTTCCAAAACTTGTCCAACTCCTTGTAACTTCAGTTCCATTTGACATGCTATCCTCTTTTAAGTAGAACTGCTATTTCTTACATTTTTCTCTCGACAGTTGTGGATACATGAATGAATTAAAAGGGTTCCTCTGCTCCATTTAGAGCATGAAAAGGGTCATTAAAGAAAAACAACTGATGTTAGTCAGAAATATCTCCTTATAAGCAACCTCTGATAAAAAGGAAAATGGGAATAAACTGTAATAACCTCAGAGGATTACAGGAGGGATTAAATGAGGAAAGTATTTTGAACACTTATCCAATAACTGGCCCATAGGAAGTGCTAATGAATGTTCGCTGTTAGTAGAGGGTAGGGGAGATCACATATCTGTCCAGCTGTGTGCCCCCAGCTGTCAGGGATTAAGCTGTTCATTTCAACACACAAATGAGAGGAAAATCATACACCTATCTCTTTATAAATATTGAGTCCTGATCAGCTCACTTCTTGAAAAATAATATTGATTACATCTCTTAACAGCATGTGAAATGGGGGTTTTCTGACTGGAATTTTAGCTGAGGAACCACAGATGGAAGTATCAGTTTCCATGTGAGCCATAAACTAGGCCATCTGTGTGGGACTTGGAAGAGGGAGTTCAAAAGAATTTTGCAACATTTAGTCAGTTACCCACATTCCAGGCTTCATTTAGGAGGGAGGGGAGGGCAGAAAGAAGAAGACATAGGAAAAGTGAGAATTTAGGGGTGGGGGGAGTGTCAAAGAGCCATATATCCCTTAATACCTATTTCTGAAGTGCCAGACTCTGTGAGGAGACATTTAAGAAGACCACGCTAGAAATAGGTACCTGGCCTGGATTGACAATGGGTGTCTGACACCTAGCAGGAGTGACCAGGTTAGGAGTCATCACCAAGGGAGCAGAGTAGACTATCAGAGGGGAGTTTAGGGACCCAGGGAGGAGGGCCTGATCCCTAAAATGACCTCAGGCAAGTGACAGCTGCTCTGAAAGGAAGCAGAGAGAGGGCTGGTGGGCAATGCACTTCTGACAGCAGAGTGAAGAGGCTGAGTTGTCCACAGAAGGGGTGGGTGCTCACAAAGCAGCCAGGCTCAAGTCAGAAGCTGCCAGACTTGCTAAGCAGGTGAGGTGACTCTGCAGAGGTACACATGGGGGACATTGGAGGGTCCAGAGACAGTCTCCATTTTGACTCTCAACTGGCCTGGATCTTCACATTTTCTTATATCCAAAAGTGACAGGAAATGTTAAGGGCTCGGTCACAAATATTACAAAGGATAGTGGGCAGAGGGGAACATTTTCCATTCACAGTCCTGCTCTTTTTATAAAGGCGTGATTGTAGCTAATACACATTAAGAGCTCCCTGGTGCCAGGCACTATTCTAAGGACTTGACATGTTTAATTATGAAATAGGCTCATTTATTAGACACCAGGAATCTGAGAAGGCGAGCACTAGGAGAGGGGAAAGCAAACACAGAAGAAATACAGCAGACAAAGGGAGGAGAATGCCAGTCACTGTGAGCACAATGCCCAAAGAAGGAAAATATTTCAAAAAATAGTTTCTGAAGAAACCTGAATAAACTGAATACTGGTCTCTCGGTGGCTCTAAGAGAGGACTTTGTGACAAAGTAAAAGTCACTGGAAAACAATAGGAAGAGAGAGAGGACACAGAGGAGAAACAAAGGCACCCCCAGGATGACACAAAGCAAGATGAAATTCCTCTAAAGTTCATCTGAAAGAAGACCTACTTGAGAAGGGAAATTTTTAAAAATCATGATTGTCCCAGCAGAGCTCACCATGAATTAAATGCCCCAGTAATTAAGTCAGAGCAGTGCGAATATAAACATGAGCAGATCAAAGAACAGAACAGATTATTCAGCACGTGGCATTGGGTAAATTAGCCGAATAATTGGTCCCTGTTGGCGGTTCTGCTCTCAGCCTGCTCCTCCCACAGCTGGCCACAGAGCTCACAAGCCAGCCTGGAAGCCCCTCTGAATCCCCTTCCGTTCAACACCTGCCATTTGTTCCACCTCCGGGTTTGCTTGTTGCTTGGATC